AATGAAGGCAGTTCCTTATGCCTCGACAGTAGAAAGCCTTATGTATGCTATGTTGTGTACTAGACCTGATATTTGGTTTGCTGTTGGCATGGTGAGCAGATTTTAGTCTAATTCAGGGCAAGAACATTGGATTGCAGTGAAACATATACTCTAGTATCTGAAAGAACTAGAGATCATATGTTAGTGCTCCAGTCAGATAGTCTGGTACCTCATGGGTACACAGACTCAGACTTTATGTCAGATAGAGATTCCGAAAAGTCTACCTCAGGATGTGTTTACCTTGGGAGGTGGAGCCATAAGTTGGAAGAGTATCAAGCAATCTTGCATTGCTGATTCTACCATGGAGGCTGAATATGTGGTAGCTTCTGAAGCAGCCAAGGAGGCCGTTTGGCTCAAAACTTCTTGTTGGATATGGAAGTGATCCTTTCAGTGCAATCAGCCATTACACTTTATTGAGATGATAGCGGTGCAGTTGCTAATTCGAAGGAGCCAAGGACTCACAAGAAGGCCAAACACTACGAGAGTAAGTATCATCTGATTCGAGAGATCGTACAGAGAGGTGATGTTGTTGTGACCAAGATTGCATCGGCGAACAACCTAGCAGATCCTTTTACGAAGAGCTTACCGACTAAGACTTTTTATAGTCACGTAGAGGGAATGGGAGTGAGGTGTGTGGCAGTTTGGTTATGAGTCTTTGTGGGAGTTTTGTTAGGAGATTATGTAAAATTTATGTTTTTATATGATGGATTAATATTTAATTATTATTCAGTTTTATCCCTTTTTTATGAGAATCTTTTATGGGCAATTTTTGCATGATATTTTTGTATGCTGTCATGTGTGTCTTTTATTCTACATAGTAGATAATCCAGTGCGTGGAGTACGACTTACACACAGAAGATTGGATCATCGGTTCTTGTGGAATATAAGTTATGGTTCACCGTCTTAGATAGAATTTGATACACCATCGGTAGGACTGTAGCACAATTTTAAGTAGGTTTGTCTTGATTACAGGGAATGGTAATAATTCCAACTCATTGTACTAGTATACTTTGTGTGTATTGAACGGGACTGCATTGAAGTAATTGTTTTTGTACTAGCTTTATAAGACAATTGGAACCTCATGGTTATTATGAATGCTTATGCTCTTATTCCAAAAATAATTATTAGAGGTATATATTTAATATTATTGATATTGATTCATTAAAGGGTGAGATCTTTATACGGTCAATAGTCTCGGTGAGTTGGGTTGCAACATTATGTATATGACAGCTATTAATTATTGATGGAATCCACGTCCCTATAGGGATTGATGATACCCCCTTGAGTAAACTTATAAGTTTCGAATATGTCAAACCCAACAGGTGGATTTTGTATCCGACATATCGAAGAAGTTAAGCGGATAGTCTCAAGGTTAAGATGTTGATTAAGTTAGAGATTGTTAGTAATTTATTTTAATCAACGGGTATCTGTAATCTTAACGTGGGGAGATTAATAAGTATTTAATATAATAGAGCTCGTAATATAATTGAAATAAGGACGGAAGTGCAATTATAATTCTGTACTGGGGTGAATTATAATTAGTGAAATAAGAAATATAATCCTGGTGGGATTAGGGTTTCTTGTTTACACTGGGAGCCCAAACTTATTACTCCTTAGGTCCCTACGTAGCCCTATATATATACACGTTTTGCTCTTTAGGTCAGATACACGTTTTCTATTATTCAAAAAATAGACGCAGACTTAGAGAGAGCAATCAGATCACGAAAGAGTCTACACTTGGTTCGTGTTCTAAACGTGCAGGGAATACGATAGAAGATCGTAAGGTGCTGTTGAGCAGTATACATGGCTTATAGCAAGATGCGCTATAACAAGTTCAACCAGTGTTCGTGTCGTAGGGAATTGAGGTGAAACCCTAATTCCGCCTTGTAGGGTTTCGCGATTTTCTTGTTGTCTAATTTGTAAGCGTCATTACTGGGTTCTAGGAATCGTTTCCTAACAATATCATGTCCATAGGAGTCCAACCCAAAACCTAACCTCCAAAGTATATCAAGACCTAACCTCCAAACTATATTATGTCCCTAAACTACATTGTGCGGTATAAATCAAATTTAGGAAGTGCTCTTTGTACTTACTACTTAATGATCCAGATAAAATGTTGCTGTCTTACCATATTCTGCAGAATTAAACACACACAAACAATACCCAAACTCCCAATGTGGGAGCCAGCCCAACTGACGCAGGCCTAAGAGTCTCGCCACTAAAGAGAGGTACTATGACAGAGGGTCCAAGGGGCCTGCACTAGAGGTCAAACACCCAAACCACAACGGGTGGGCTAATTTTGGTTGCTTTGGAGGAGGGTAAGAGGGTAATTCCACATACCAACTCACCTAGGCAATTGCTGACTAGGAAGAGGCATAATGGACCCTTTAAACACACACATAATACCCAAACTCCTGATGTGGGAGCCATTATGTGTGTGTGTTTAAAGGGTCCATTATGCCTCTCCCTAGTCAGCAATTGCCTAGGTGAGTTGGTATGTAGAATTACCCTCTTGCCCTCCTCCAAAACCATATTCTGCAGAATTCGTTTGTTTTACAACATAATCTAAACTCAAAGAAGTCAAATTATTTTTCTGATCATTTTATCATAAAGGTCATAATTAATTTTTAACTTTAGAGATCTCATAAGAGAGCCCTAAAATATCTGCTATTCATTTGGTTCTAAAGCTTTCTTAGGGCTTTCATATGAGAGTCCTAGTCAAAATTAACTATCACCTTGGGATAAAATGATTAGAAAAATAATATTTTCGCAATGGTTCAAACAGATTCAAATTGGAACACTTAATTTGTTAATTATATTTTTAAATATATAAACGTTTAAAAAAGTTAAGTGCTCCAGTTTTTAATCTGTTTGAACTGATACGAAGAACTTATTTCTCTGATCATTTTATCCTAAAGGATTATAATTAATTTTTAACTTTAGGGATTTCGTATGAGAGTCCTAATTAAGAAAACTCTAGAACCAAATTAATAACAAATAATTTAGGGATCTCATATGAGAGCCCTAAAATCAAAAACTAATTATGACCCTCTAGGATAAAATGATCAAGAAAATAATATTTTCGCATTGGTTCAAATGAATTGAAAATTTGAGCACTTAATTCTTTAACCATATTTTTTAATATATAAGTTGTCGGAACATTATATTTGCCATGCTTAAAACGGCGGCATTTTTGGGTATTTTTCCCTGCTGCAAACTACTTCTTTACGGCACAGCCTAAATAAGTTTATCCCATGCAGGAAGAAAATAAGTTTCTCTCGTCCAGGAAGAGAAATGAAAGTGCAGAAAGATATGGGAACGAATAGAATCCATGCCAAAAGGCAGAAATGGTTGAGAACAAAATTGATGTCGGATCTACACAACAACAAAACGGCCAATACTTTTAGAGACACATGCAAACAAATTCTTTGGCCGTGCAAAATCAAGAATCCACTAGCTTTCTCATCCAGGTGCCTTCTTCTTCGACGATCCAATATCTACCCTAAACATAGCACATCGTTGCCCATTCATTTTGTAAGGTGTCTAGTCCGATTTACAAAGTTCATAAATCCAGTCCAGTCCTTGGGATAGGGTACCATAGGGTAGGGTAGGGTTCCCTAGGGTTTAGGGGTTTTCATAAATTTTAGGGTGCACTTTCTTATTATATAGTAGGGTATGCGAGGGTATGGTACCCTATGATTTAGTCACTTTCATAGGATTTTAGGGTGCACTTTTCTATAATAGGGTTTTAGTGGTTTAGACACTTTTATAAAGTTTATGATTTTAGGCACTTTCATAGGGTATCTTAAGATTTAGGTTAGTAGACTTATGGGCTTACAAAATTAATAGGTGGACTTATGGACGTATGAAATCTCTATAGTGGGCCTATCACCAAATCTCCCTAAAAATATACGACTCAGATCAGAACAACATTCTATCTCTAACCTTTGACATAAAGACCCCTTAAGGTTAGCCTAAAATCCCTCCAATCAAGGGGCTTAATTGAAAAAATTGGGCCGAAAATCCCAAACCATGAACGTTCTTTTATTATTAGGTTAAGATAGATAATGTTGGGAGTGGAAATTTGTGAAGTTCTGACATTTTGAGAAAAAAACAAGTAAGCTGATTATAAAGAAAAATTCTTGAATAAGACTGTTAATCGAGCTTATTTGTCTCTTGGTCCGTCTTTGATATATTGGGTATGACTAAAAACAATGCACCCAAGGTTGGTTGGAAACATGGACAATCTAGAATTTTGTGTAAGTGAGGCATACAAATTAGTAAACTTATCTCATACGTCCATAATTTCTTAATACAATTTACATCGGTATAATAAAAAATTGGTGACTACATATCTTACAATAGCGAAAGGGACGTATTTGCACAAAAAGATTGTGTAAAAATTCGTACTCTAAGAAATAGATCAGACAAAAATTCTCGTAGAGAAAATGAAGAGTAGTTTTATTAGAATATTATCATAAATTTATTGTACAATTTAAATATTTAAAATTATTAATAGTATTTATTTACAAAATCGAATGAGAGCATGTGCCCCGCGTGACCCCTTGGATTCGTGCCTGATTGGAAATGATAAGTTTTCCTAAAAGGTTACTTGGCTTTAAATGCATTACGTTACTGAGAAAATGATAGGCAAGTGATTGGTGGAAGAAGTCTAGAATAAACAAAGATATTGACCTCGTTCGTTTAGCATATTTACTTTGTTTTAAATTTGTTTTCCAATCATTACCCTATATTTTTTTTCATTTATTACCCTATTTCTCCAATTATTAATTTCATTTCTCTCTCTATCTCTCTCCACTCATTACCTCTTTCTCCAATCATTACCCTATTTCTCTCTCCACCCACTACCAAAACTAAAATACCTAAAATTGCTAAACGAACAAGGCCATTGACTTTAGGAAGTCAAAAAAAATAAAAATAAAAAGGTGAAGGAGAAAAGTCGACTCTGCTGGGGATCGAACCCAAAATCTATGGTTGAATAGACCAGCACCTTATCCATTGGTCCACAGAGTCCATTTTTTCTATAATTTCAAACTCCTTTTATTTTTACTGTCTTAAAAGTCGACAATTGGTCCCGTGTAGTTGCCATGCACTTCCAAGTCCTCCCCAAGATATGATAATCTGAACTAGCGGTTGGGGGCACACCCTTCGTGTGTGCACGTGAAAAGGCAAGTGAAAATATTTGGGGAGTGAGAGTGTGGGTGGCTAGTTTTTTTTCGGGATTAGGGTGGGTGGTTAAGTTTTAGTGATTTTACTATTTCATCCTAAGAGGTTAATTATATTACAGTAAAATCGGATGTAAAACTTGGATTTTGATTTTGATTAGGATAAAAATGGAAATCACTTTTGTGACACGGCTTTAAAAATAGGTCACACCAAAAGCTCCTTGTAACGCCCCGAATTTTGGGTACGTTAAATAAACATTTTAATGAACAATAAAAGAGAGTCTGGCTCTTTATTACATCATAAACTCCCAAAGGGTTCTTATATTACATAAAAGGGATGGATATCTAAGGTTATCTACAGCTCCTTCTCTTCTTCCATCCTAGCAAGTTCCTCAACTCCAAAGGCCTCCAAGGTATACAGCTCCCCTTGTTCATCTAACAAGTCTGACACATTATACCAGCGTCGCCACCAGTATAATATGTCAGGGTCACATAAAGCAACACCATGAGCTTGAAAGCTCAATAGAATAATCCAAAACCCACTAACCCTTAACATACACATCAAAGATAGTATACGATTTTAACATGCTTTCAAATAACTCATACAATTACACATGCGCATTCACTAACGAGCGTTGGTGTCATGTTTTCCTTGTGTCTCTCCTACGCGACTTATTGTTTTGTGTCTCATCTTTTATCATCAATTCCGAAAACACGCATGCACACAACCATGGGTTACAAGTACCTTGTGTCGCACAACAATGAGCTACCAAGTCCGACTCATTGCCACAAGGTTACCAACGCACGGCCACAATGGCTACCAAGTCCGGCACATTGTGTCACACACACACACAACCATGAGCATCCAAGACCGGCACCTTGTGTCGCACAACAATGAGCTACCAAGTCCGGCTCATTGCCACAAAGGCTACCAAATCTGACTCATGGCCATAATGGCTACCAAGTCCGGCCATTATGCATTTCCAAAACACTTTTTATCCGTATCAACCACATCTTAGGTGTCATATCTCTACTTTTCCAATTCCATGTGTCTCGTAACATGCATCGACTCCGCGGTGGGACTATTCACATAACTCATGCGATATCATGCTCGTTAAAAGGTCAAAATACAAATACTTCGTTTCAAACGATACTTTATCTTTAAAATGCACTTCCTTCGAGAGGTTCGAAGCAACACATGTTTATTGACGAGTTCATACAATCACGTGGTAACTAGGTGATCAAGCAATCAAGTAGTCATAAGATCAAAGTAAACTACGTTCTTTTAAACAAGAAAGTTCTACAAGCTAAATATCACAACTACATTATCATGCTCATGTACTTCAAAGAATTCTACGTCAAACAACATCATGCGATCAACTAGCCAAGTACTACATATTCTTAATCACGCTTATATCATACGATATACGTAGGGTAGGGGTATAAGAAGATTCTACCTTAATCCGAAACTAGTCGGGGCCGAATAAGCTAGTTAGAAAGTGCTACGGGCGTCGAATGCTCACAATCTGGACCAAACTTTGGATAGCAGTAACTCGGTCAATACTTGGCCGAATAGGATTGTTCTTGAGTCTAAAACGAAGATCTCGAAGTTCTCTACGACTTTCGTGAAGGACGTTATTCCTAAAACGACTTTCGCCCGGAGAAAAATGGGGATAAGAAAGTGGACAGTGAGCTGTCTGGAATGGAATTTCCAGATTTTTCACTGAACTTTGGAGGTCGATATCTTGGTCATCTCTTGACCGTTTGGGGTGGTTCTTGGGTCTAAACTGAAGCTCTCGAAGTGTTCTACGACTTTCGTGGAGGTCGTTGTTCCTAGAAACGACTTTCGCCCGGAGAAAAAATGGAGTTTTTCAGAGGACAGTAGGCTGCCTGGGCAAAACAAAATGGGTTTTAGAGAGAAGTTTGGAGAATGAGGTGAAGGTGTGAGTTCAAAGCACCAAGAGCTTGGTATTTATAGGCAAGGCACCCTCTCTCTCTCTCTCCCTAGCCGGCCTCTCTCTCTCTCCTATATCTCATTTTTTTATTCAAGCAAATCTTGTTTGCTTGCAAGTTTAACCCTAGAACTAGGCATGCAAGGCTATGGATGTGTCCTTTGGATTGGATTTTGGAAGATTGATCAAGGAAGGTGGATTTGATTCAAGTATTCTAATGGGGTTTGTACAAGGAAGGACAAGATTGGATGGCATTGGTCATGCTTTCACTTGAAGTATACACAAACTAGGACAAGGATGATCAAGCAAGGTCAAACAACTTGCACATACATCACATCCTCCCTCTCTCTCTCCATCCGAATCTCTCTCTCTCTCTCTCCCACTTGTTTGTACTATGAAAGACTACATATATACTAATATATATATGTACTATGGGTCTTTCAAAATCTTGTATTTAAAACTAAATATAGATTTTTCTTATTATAAAATTCTATATACACACATGGGTACTTTCATTATAATATATATATCTATATATATATATATATACAAGTACATATATATAATATACAAGCTAGTACTTACACTATCTAGTCTAGGGTTCCATAGTCTAATAAACTAACCTAATGCTTTCAAAGTACAATGGAAGCAAAAGAAGTCAATCCAAGCTACTATCTCTCTCTCCTCCTTTCTTTCTTTCTTTCTCTCTCTCTCTCTCTCTCTCTCTCTCTCTCTCGGCCCAATCTCTCTCTCCCCTCTCTCGGCTTTCTTTCTCTCTTTCTCTCTCATGTACTATATATATATATATATATATATGGGGGCGGTTCCGGGGACACCCAACGGGGACACCTAAAAAAACACCCCATGGTTTTCGATCAAATTTTGATGATCCGAGCCGCTCAATGTGATCAGAATGTGATTTTAAGGGTACATGCTAAAAATCAGCAAAAAAAATGACCGGGAAGGGCTTGATCCGAACAGTTTTGAACAATTATTTATTGAACGGTTCAAATAAAAACTGCTCAAATCAAGCCTTTCCCGGTCATTTTTTTTGCTAATTTCTCGCGGACACCCTTAAAATCACATTCTGCACACATTGAGCGGTTCGGATCATAAAAATTCAATCGGGAACTATCAGATTGAGATTTTGGGTGTCTCCGTTGGGTGTTTTATTATGGTGTTCATTGAACCATTCCCATATATATATATTGGTCTAATAAATATATATATATATACATACCAGAAAGCAAACATATATAATAATGTATTAGTGTACTAGAATATCTAATAGATTTACAAGCAAAAGGATTTTCCAATTAAAAAAAATGTAATACACACATGCTATATACAATAAAATATATATATACAACAAGTACATACATACATACATATATATATATATATACATGTACTACACTATATCTATACTAGATATGACCTAGGACTAATATCTAATATAGTATTCTACTACTTTCAAAGTACAATGTATAATAATACTAACCTAATGTACTAATTGTATTTTAATGGATTATCACACATGGCCCAAATCTAATATTTAAATCAAACAAGTACATGATTGCCAAGACTAACTATTATCCAATGGATAATAGTTTCTCTAGTGGTTAATAACCAATGGGTAATAATGGCTAGGATTCTAGTCTATCGTCCAATGGTTAATAAAACTCCTAATAGTTATTATCCAACGGTTAATGCTAGAAAGTCTAATATTTGTAATTAAGCTCTAAGCTAATCTAATCTCGTACTTAGGAAGGTTAACCAAGGTTTACCTATTGACCAACGGGTAAAAGAAATCATAACGCTATTGTCCAACGGATAAATATTACCCTAGCTTTTATCGTCCAATGGATAAAGACAAAAAGGGTAAAATGGTCCATCTAGGTTTAGAGAGAAGTGATTAGGCTGAATGGGCATTAGGCTGTTCTAACTAATCGATTAAAGACTGACGATACTTAAACTAGGCTTTCATTGCTCGAGTGGTATTTTGGTTTTATTTAGTAGAAAATCGCCTAGTAACGGAATATTAAAGCCCGATGGTGCCAAACGCCAAGGCAATGCGTGAGCGTGGCCAAGGCAGCCTGGTAGCAAAGCGGTGGCCAAGCGGTGGCCAAAGCAGCCCGGTAGCCAAGCAGTGGCCAAGTGGTGGCCAGCGACTGGTGGTAGCCAAACAAAGGCGGTGGCAAGCGGCCAACGATGGCCAAAGGCGGCTGTAGCGATAGCGGCTGTCGGCAAAGCGCCCGTGGCCAAACAAGGCAAAGGCAGCCCAGCTAGCGAGGCCAGCGGTAGCCAAAGCGGCCAGTGGCCAACGATGGCAAGCGACCGGTAATAGCGATGGCAAAGCGTAAGGCCAGATGGCAAAGGGCTGGCAAAAGCAAGCGTGACTTCGATGCCAAGCGTAACCCAATGGCAGCCAAGGCAGAGCAAGGCAGCCTAGCAACGCCAAGGTAAAAGCAAGGCGCGACCCGACGCCATGGTGAGGCAGACCCGACAGCGACCCGACGCCTAGGCGAGGCAGGCGCGACAGCGAGCCGACGCCAAGGCAAGGCAGGCTTGTCAGCGAGCCGATGCCAAAGCAAGGCAGGCCCGACAGCGACCCGATGCCTAGGCAGCCTAGCCAAGCCAAAGCAAGGCAGTCAAGTTAACGGTCAAGGCAAGGACTAAACATTAACCATTTTGGCATCGATGCAACGCTCTAAGTTAGGGGAAATGTAACTAAGCCAAACGGTAGTTAGGGTTGCTAGCTAATCGGTTGCCATGTAGGATTTCCAGTCGAGAAATATAATTCTAGGATTTTACTACAATTACCAAGTTACTATACCCAGGTCTTAATAGGCATACCCGTCTTTAGAAAATGACCTTAATGCCCGGGCGATGAATT